AAAAAAAAATTTGACAATTTTTTTAAAACTTTTCTTTTTAGCTTTTAATAATGTTGGTTTTGGTGGAGGATTGTTTTTAAGCAACATTTGCTTAATTGCCGTTTACAGTGGGAAAAAGGTACTTTTCAAATGTATCATCTAAATTGGATGACAACTGACTTAATATGAAGTAGATCAAATTGTTATTTCTTTTTTTTATCATCACCACCACCATCACCACCACTACCATTTTAGGGACCACCAGATGCTGCAGATCAGCTAAGTTCCTTATGGAAACAGGATGAACAGTGCAAAAAATCTATAGTTTTCTTTTTTTCTGCTAACGATCATAAGTTATATTATTCCGGAGCTGAACATAGTGGACTTTGTAAGCAAAGATTTTATGATTATCATTAGTTTTTAAAGGCTAACTTTTTTTGAAGAACAGTTTATAGCTATCTAGAAATCAGTAAATTTTCACGACGTTACATCAACGTGGCAGTTTCGTTTTTTTTTTCAGCCCAGTCAGATTTCAATTCGATTGTTGCAAAGTACCGATCTGAATTGGATGCAAATCATATTACATCAGCACTGTCGGGTATTTTTAAGGAAATTGCTTCACGAGGCACCCAAGATACCAGCGGTACTCCTACTCGTGGCGGTAATTATTCTATTATATATCTTCCTGAATTTGTTAAATTTTTGCTTCCAAATTGTTATGTTGAGTCAATTATCGAATTAGTGTACATAGTTGATTAACGAGCAAATTGAAAGAGTAGAGTTGAAAATTTTTTACGAATCTGAGTGGTAGAAAAGTCCAAATTTCTTCATTTGATTTCTAAAAGTATTTTGTTGCTTTAGCATCAGAATAGTCACTAGTAGTACATAACGTTTATCTGAAGAAGGAAAAAGTTGGTAGCTGTTTTAAGTCTACAGAAATGTGGTTTTAAAAGGAAGATTTTCTTGAAAATTTTGACAAACATTTTGTATATTTTCTTTTTTGAAGTGAATTGTGACATCTGTAGCCGCTGAAACAAAGGGTTAATTTTTTTCAAGAAAGCAGCTTTGTAAAATGTACCACTGTTTTGGTAGTTTAGGTTTTTTGAGATTTGGAGGAGTCCTGGACTAATGTAAGGCACTGATTAATCTTAATATATTTTTCAAAAGGTCGCATTCAAGTTTAACAGATTTTGTAGATCAAAGGGAAATCTTCATGCAGAGTTTATTTACTTGACAATAAGCACTTTTTTGAGGTAGCAGATGGTTCTCTAAATACAATTAAAAATTAAACTTATTTCTTGCTAAATAACCTACGAATTATTTATAGGTTCTTTTAAAACTAGTTTCTAGTGGTCTACTCTGAAAAATGATAGATGTGTTACTCAACACAGTAACATGGTTCTTTGAGTAGTATCTGATTACCTCTCAACCTAGTATTTCTCTTTAATTTTTTATTGTTTGTGCAAAGTTCGCTAAACAGTAACTGTTTTTATTCTGAAAAATGTGGTTTAAAGTTTACAGGGATTGGTTTTATGAGGGCAGTTGTAGTTTATTAAATCTACAATCTCTTTCTCAAACAGTGGTTGGATTTTTAAACCTTTTAAACTTAAGAAGCGCACAAGTCGGAACTATGGCTTCTTGTATCTTTGATCCTTTCCTACAAGTAACGGTCAGATTTTTATATTGACTGGCGTTGTTTTTTTGGCGACATCAATATGAGGCACGATAGAAGCGATAGGAGGATTTATCTCCCATAGCAGATTTTAGGAGGATCTTTCCTTAAGGACGTTAAGGAGACAATAAGTCAAAAAGCTTGAGCAAAATTAATCTAGGTTATTTGATTTTTTATCACTTTCATCTGCTTAGGTAGTTTTTTTTATTTACAGGCATTTGGAACTTTGCAAAGTTTTTGTGTGAGGTTTGCTTTTGAGGATTACATTTCGCTTGTTTTCTGCATTCATAATGTGTCAACAAACCATTTGTTTGAAATATTTTTGAGTTTCAATTTATATGTGGTTGAGATTTTTGAAATTGAGAAGAAAGGTTGCTTTCGAACGATCTGGTCAGTCTATTTCCTCTATTTCCGTTTACTCATCACATTTGGAAAGTCAAGTCTTCTGGCATTTCTGACTTACAGTATCATGTCTGTGACCGCAGTTTGTTATACCTCTGTTATAGAATGCAAAAACAGTTTAAATGCTATTTCAGACCGTCATCCAATGCCAATATCACCAACGGAAGGCAAGGCTGGAACCAATGGACCATCATATTTGGCAGCCTTTGTATCAGTGTTACTTTGTTTAATATGTTATAGATTTGGAAATGAAAAACTATACTTCTGATTAATAACAAAACTCTTTAAATGCAGCTACGTATCTCCGACCAAGTGTGTTATTGTTGTTAAACTTTTGTTGAACATCCTTTCCACAACATTTTTGCTTTGTTTACTTAATTCTTTCTAAGGTTAATGCTATTAGTAGGTGGGAATTTGTCGTGCTTCTGCATCTCATACGGCTCAAGTTTTCTTGCTTCTGAGAGCTGAACTGGTGCAAGGAAAGTATTATATTGAATGCCTTTTTTTGCTTTCTGACTGCCTTTGTTCTGTTTCATTTCCAAACTTCAACGATCATTTACAATGCTTTGATCCCAAGTTGCGTGGATACGACAAAGAGAATTGAGCTTGTTCAAATGATTCAAACAAGTGGCTTTTCATGTACAATGCATTTATTGCATTTATTACAGCTAACTACTCTTAAAAGTTCATTGAGAATCTGCTTGTATAAAATTTTAGCTTTTAAGTACATATTATTCAAAAAAATCACTGATCGTTTAAAATTGTCAACAGATACTTCATAACAGTAATATCAAAGTGGCTTTTTTGGGGTAAGGAGAAAAAGAATGGAGCTGGTATACCTAATATACTTTTTCCACTTTCATCTTCAAAGATTGTCTATCATGAGGGGGTCGAAAGTTCCAGTGAGCAGGGAAGATGTTAACATTTGTTTGCTGTTTATCTCACATTTGTTTTAGGCCAGAAAAAATGTTACGGAACAGTTGAAAGACGGTTTAGTTTGAACATTTGAAGAGGTTTTTAGGCTTTACTTAATTGAAACTGGTGCAGGTGTGACCATTTTTAAGATGTTTTCAGCATAGTCAGTTCCAATATGTCATTCATCACCAAAGTCATCATTTCTGTTTTTTTCGCGTTGGCTCAGAATAAAATGAAAACAGAAATGGTCGCACAGGGCCAAAAGCAATATGTTTATTCGCTTTCAACTAACTAAAAGTTTTAGCAATCAGCGGTCATTTGTTTTATCCAGTTCAAATATAGTTTTTTACAATTTTTGGTAGTATTTGATAAATAAGGTGATATGAACATTGGATGGAATGGTAGCACTTGTGGAAAAAGCTGCTTTATGGGAAAGATACAAAGCGAAGATGAACACTCGGGATGGAATTTGTCATCAGATGTAAACTAATTTAGTGACACTGCAAATAAGCAAGAAATTTAAGACTAATAGTTAAAATAAATTTTATTTAACGAAATGCTTTGTTTTGGCTTTTGTATTTGTAACAGGTCAAATAAAGTAGGGCTTTTAAAGTGAGATAACGCTAATGCAATTAACTGTGTCAACCCCACAAACATGCTTTTTTGATTGTTAACCTTTGACCGCTATGAGTTCATCTTTTATAGTCTCAGATGTGTGTTTATATTCCTTGCTAAATGTCTAAAATACCTCGGCACTGAAGCTTCGCTGTAACCCTAGCGACATTTTATAAGACGGTACTGTTGTCAGTATGTGGTGTGACGGATAGTGACTGCAGTTTAGGGCTTACAGTTAGTTGGCCGTGGAAATCGATCTTCTCTTGTTTTGAAAAAAGCATCATAATTGTTCTACTCCTTAAAATTCATGGGTTTCCGGTGCTACTGGTAGTAAGCTTGGCCAAATTGTTCCCTTTATAATACAAATTTGCTTTCCTGATGATGCGCTACCACTGATTCAGCAATAGATTACGCCCGATACGATCATTGTGAGTGTCATGTAGCCAGCTTATGATGGCACAGAGTATGTACGTAAAAAAATTTTACACCCATTTCTTTTTTTAACCCCTCTGTTGAGTTTTTTTGGGCAGATCAGCGTTGTGCGTAACCTTATGAGTATACGAGAACACTACAGAGAGCCAGTGGTGCCATATGAAAAAGCAGCGCAGAAATAGAAACAGAACATGTGAAGCCGTTTTTGGTATTGATATACGCACGTTTTCTGAAGTCTTTTCCAATAATCTTTTCATTCTTCCCGTAAAGTAGATCAACAAGTTTGATGTACACAACTAAAATGCTGTGATTACACAAGTCTTTTTTGGTAGACCAAAAGACGGTCAAGAAATGTAAAGAATGTGAGCAAGGCGGTTATACTAATAGATGGCTTAAACTATTTGAATTTTTAGGATTGCGGTTGAAAATCGCAGTCAATGTTTTAATAAATTGGTGAAACGTTATAAAAATCAGAAAGAAACCATAGCAGTAAACAGCTAAAAAGTTAGCAAGAAGAGCTTTGACAAGTCTGGAATTAGTGAGGTTGCAAGACCTATACACAAATGATGGGAGCAGGTTGACGGTAAAGATGTGTTTTGCGAGTGGGCGTGCAATGGCACAAACGAAGTCGTGCCAGTAATTGGCACAACAAATGTAAAGGGTGTTTGCATTGCTATGGTTTAAGTTTTTTACTGCTAATTATCCCCATCACTTTGGAAAGGATTTTCGCAAACTTAGGCAAAACTATTTTGTTTTATTTCTCTTAAGCTTAATTTTTGTTCGGGAAAGACTTTGATATCTGTTCAAGAGAATTTCTGGAATAAGTTAGATTCTTTGAATATCTGACGGGTCGTTTAAGAACGATAGCGGTAACTGAAAGAATGGTGGGCAACATTTAGGAAGCAAATTCAGGATTATACAGGAAAGCAGTGTCAATGTAAATACCATAGAGCCTTTGAGGTCTGGATAAATTGAAGTGTCGATGAATCGTAAAAAAAAAAAGAAACAGATAATTCCGGTCTTTCATTATCGTAAGAGTTTTGTCAAAGATAACAATAATTCGGATTCTTTTATGATCAATACAGTGGTTTTTGGTCGCTACTGCTTCTACTCTTACTATAGGCAAAACAGCTTGACAGTTGTGTTAGTTTTGATGCGGTAAACTTACTTAAAGAATAAATTTGGAGCTAGAATTCTTTATTGGCACATCAGGTTATTGCCAATAACTGTGAAGTAGCCACAGAAATAAGGTAAGTTTCAATGATGTATCATTTATAAATTAGCAGACTAGCGGAATTAAAAGTGGAAAAGGCAGATCTACCACTAAATCCATAAACAATAAAAAAACAAAAATAATTTTTTATTCAGTAACTGTATGAATATGTAAGACAAAAAGCATCTCTTTCACTGTTCTATTTGATGGACAACGGAGAAGAACTTGAAGTACTACGTTACTCGAAGTGTTATTATAAAGGTGAGGACAAAAAAAAAAACCAAATACTATTTGTCGTGGCCAGTCAGAGAACAAATGATCTTCACCGTTAAAAAGTCGGGCATTAACCAGGTACAATGGGCTTACTATTCCAAGTCCCTACGCATCTCTTCAAATATTGCAGCTTGCTTAAAGGTCCACGGTCTTTTACTTTGGGCTTTTTGTTATAGTAGGAGAACAAGATCGAAGAAAGTTAACATAACAATGATTTTTGTTTTCTTAGAAATTCTG